AAAAAAAAAAAAGAAAAAAAAGAAACCGCTCTTTTCTTGATTCCTCCATTCTCCAGCGAAATTCCTTTACCGCGTTACCAAAAATCGATGATTAAAATTTTAATAGATCGGTACGTATTTAGCATCGATACGCGACGATGTTGAACCGGTGTTGAACGTTACACGTGAACGCAACGCCGGAAGAACTCCCTGTCGAATCAATCTACACAATGTCGTCAGGGTAACGAATCGTCCAAACAAAAACAAACGAGCTGCTGCTGTTACTTTCGCTGGTGTACCGCTGCTGGTTGAAAGACCAGCGAATCGAGCAATTTAGCTCGGGTACCGATCGATCGTATCGACTTTACCAATTTTCCAACAAATCCTCCACCAGCCCTGTTGTTCGTTCCTTCCTTCGTTTCGTGCGAACTTTGTCAATTGCCTCGCCAGCTTTCTTGAGATCAGGCTTCGAATGAAAATGAATTCTTAGAAAACTCGTAATCGTCGTTACGTGCACGGACAATTCTTCAATTTACATCTTTAGTCGTTACGTGTTTTTAACCGATGCAGAAAAAAATACACGCACGAGAGAGATCGCGCTATGAGAATTACGCAAAGTGCAGCGAATCGTAAATCGTTCAAATTTCTAATTCGTCAAAAGGTCAAAAGGAAAGAGGAAGAAGAGCAAGGAACGTAAAACGACTCATTTCGAGGCTAATAAAATCCAATCGCCACAAGATCTCCAGGACTCTCCATCGCGGAACTCGCAGCAAGCCCCAAATTATCCATTCGTCGAATCGATTTTTGCTAGATTTGCCACGCATCGACTCGTCGCAATAGCGGAAAATTGCGCGAGGGAAATGTTTTTTCGAGAAACGTGAAAGATTTTGCGATTATCGTTCGCGTGCAACATTTTCGCATGAAACGAAAGTCGAAAAAGAGCCTGTCATCGCTACAATAGCCATTGACTTTCATTTCCGTATAGCAGCTATTACACTTAACCCTTTGCCCACTTGACTGTCCTCCGCAAGAAGACATCATACTTGTAATTTAACCAACAGTTAAACTTGTAAAATGTTTTATAATTGCTGATATGATAATTGCAACGTATGATATGATATAATATAATAACCTGACGATGTAAGAAGAGGAATAAAGCTAATCTCCAAAGAAGAAATTCTCGAGGATAGAGGCAGTCGTGAGTGAGTTGACACTCGTTATCATCGAATACATTCGTTGAATTGTTACTTGAATAATTCGGGACAATTCGCATAAAGTCTAAGCTTCTTACGGAAGTAGTTTATGAAAATGGTGAAGGAAATTTTTCAAGAGACTGAAATTATGTAATTCGTTAACTTTTACATACTATGCTTGACTTGATTGCTTTAAACGAAGTCACACATTAAAGAAATAGAATCAACAAAATTCCATGATAAATTGAAACGTTTCAACAGGATGATTATTTCCAATGCTATATAATTTTGCTTTTGAAGTGACATTTCACTCGCCATTTTGTAAATAAATTGCTGGTAGATGATGGAAAATAATGGGTTTTCGAGGGCATCTTGCTAGGTTACGTAATTGAAATGACACTGGTCTACTCCGAGTCTAATCTTTACTCGACTGAATTCTTCTTTGAATTCTTCACGCCGCGCTGGAGAGAATAGGGCAGCGAAACGCTTCAGAGAGCTCGAGAAAGGGTACTGCCGCGCTTCTAATTACGTTACGCGTGAATTTTAATAATTCATGCGCAATCCTGATAATTCTTAAGAAATCACGTAAGAAACAATGCTATCGTTCCACTCTCTTTCCACGAAATACAATCGCCATCGAATCGGACAAAAGTCTAGCTTAAACTTGCGCGAGATTTTTCGATTAGGCTCTTAGGAGTGTGCCAGGTACCGTTTGATTCGATAAATGAAATCGAGAGAGGAAAATATCGCGGGAATTCTAGTTCGCAGCGAAACTGCTTCCAGCGATTCCTCCAGGCAATCGCCTGCACATTATTTCTCTCCGCACAACGCAGTCCATGATCTTCTTTTTTTCTTTTTTGCTGGATGCCTTCGAGGCATACCTGTACGTGTACTTACCTCAGACACGTATATCTAAAAATCTAAAGCTAATTCTTTGCTTGCTACCTGGAGGCGAATCGATTAATTTTTTGTTTTTCTCCTGTTTTTAACTCGGCTTCGAGTTTTAATCGAGAATTAATTTGTTGATCTTTAATTTAATTTAGTTTAGAGTTTCATTAACGTATTCCAACGTGTGTGTGTGTGTGTGTGTGTGTGTGTGTGTGTTTCACATTCTGTGTGTCACCTAATGAGAAAAAAACTTTACTCACTCTATATGGAACATTGATTGTGTTATTTCGATTTCTAGGCACTCGCAATAGAAATTACCGGCAGTCATCAGATACGGCAGCTCTGTGTTAGTTGTAGCAGTATTTTTATGTAGTTTGTTTACGTTTTTATTACTATCATTTTATTTCGTATTTAGCACGGACGTCGAATTGGTCTTTTTCCCAACTATTGAAATTACAGAGTGTTATACACCACACAGTGCAACGCTTTCTATTCTCTTGGCGAACATGCGTACACGCGTGGAAAATTCTTTCTAACCCGAGTAATCAGTGTCCCTGATCGCGGTGATCCGTCTCTCCTTATACGATGCATCGACTTTACTAGATAATGCCATTTAGAATGCACGCTATTCGACAATTATGCGAATGAATAATGGAATATAGCTCTATGCCTTACACTGACTTTACTTTCTCTTTGTTCAACACACAACATTTCCGATACAAATACAATAGAAAAACGTTACATCACCGTATCCACGTGTATATTGCACGCGATACGATTATAAAACGAACATGCAAATGTACGTAGTTCTATACGTTAGAATCGTTATCCTCGTTAACGCCGAACGGAACGATGATCGTTTCAGCGATCAATCCTATTTACGCAAGTGGGATTTCTTGACAAGTCTGTGTGGACTCTTGACAGACTGTTACCCCAAGATTCTTGAATCTTGCACGGGACGATGTTGCGTCGTTGTTTGTTTCACGTAGACCAGTCAGACTATCGAGCGTATTACCCGAGCGAAATGGGAAGAGTAGCCACTCCTCCGAAGCAAGTCGCGAAACCTTGAAAGGAATCTTGAACGTGTAAACTACAACGATGATCGATTACGTGCATGTTTCAAGGAAGTAAGTACTACATGTTTTAGTGATAAACTTTGCATACGTCAGCCGCGTCGAAGGCCAAAGTGGTTCGGCTGTCTAAAACACGTACATTCTCGCGTCAATCGTCTTCAATCTTGCAATCTCGAGCCAACGGTTGGATCGCGATCAAAGTAACGAAACTCGGACTTGAATTTTTCGATTGGAAATTTGGAGTTTTGGCACCAATCAGAGAACTTGGCTCATCGTCAGACTTTACTGGCCAACGAAGGAGGAGTAACATGTGCGAAACATCGTTTTAACGGGGCAAAACACGTGGCCGGTTGGGGTGAACGACGCTGGTACGCACAGGTGAAAATAGAAAGAGAGAGAGAGAGAGAGAGAGAGGCGAGTAGTTCGACGTAACGAGAACCACTGGCAAAGCAGGAAAATGTGAACGTATGGATAGCCTCCGTTGTCCCTCGAGGTTGTCGTCAGTGTCGTCAGTTCGATCCGGTCACTGGGCCATTCACCATGAACGAGCGCAGTGAGTATCTACATTTACACGTATACCGGTGTATTTATTCACCGCAACTTCCGCTGACGCCTCTCTGCATCCCCATTTTAACTCGCTATAGACCGCTTTAACTTTCCTACGAACGTTCCCTTATCCCTTATCGTACTCGCTTCGAGTTGAGTTTCACACAACCCTGACCCGACAATGAGTTCTACGTGTTTAAATTCGTGTAAATTCGGTCGCACTCGCTCGAGTTTGATCTCTTGATTTCAACCACTATACACACACACACACATCGTGGAAATAAAATTTTCTTCCTAAAATTGTTTCCCTTTCAGAGGATGAAACGCGTTCGATTTACACAGTCGCCAGCAACCAGAATCTGATACCAGTAAAGTCCAGACGCGCCTAGTAAGTCGTGTTGTTACACGCGTGAAACGGTCGGCGATGTAACAAGCTTGCCAATTATTTATTTCCATTTATTTTTCAGTTTAAGGAGACGAAGATACGTACCGAATCTAACGATGATCGTATTATTCCTCTTGATGGCCTTATCCATCACGATGGCCTTGGTGTTTTCTATACTCTGTGAGTGAACATTCGTCGACAAAGATCGATCATTTCTAATTTCCCTAAAATCTATGTATCGACGTGTAAACGTGTACACGTTTCATCTGAACTTGTCAGTCAGTATGATATATATTCTCTCTCGTATCCACTGTTTTTACAGATGCAACCAACAGACCGGCAAAGCTTTGCGAAACGGAGAATTGCGTCCGCATAGGTAAGGAAACGATCAACTTTTTAGCATTTGGTCGAGCTACTTTAATTCTGATTGAAATTGTGAGAAAGAAAAATTCAATGAAATCCCGTGTTCCCGCTAGCTGCTAGTCTGAAAGAATCTATGGACACTTCTGTAGACCCTTGCGACGACTTTTACAAGTGAGTATTCTATTGTTCCACTTTCGAAGAGCAACGATGCAACTCGCAGCATGTTTCAAAGTCAGTGTCGTACTTTGCTTACTTACTTCTCGTTGGCTCATTTGCACAGTATGGTAGTTGCGTCCGTCGCCACCTTGCCGTTTTACGCGGCCGCGTAAAACATGAAACGAAACAAGCGATATATCGCCGATCGATTTTGGCACAATACGATTGTTTCGAATCACATTTCGATCAAAGTGAGGCAAATTTTATATCAAACAACAAATGCATATCCCATTTATATGTATATTACACAATTATAGAATCATACTGTGTGTGTATTATTAATTTGATATCGATGAAAACGTAACAAGACCTTTATTCAAGGTTTCCAATTATCTATCGAATGGAACAACTAATTTTACAACTAATTTCAACAAGTTTTCTAAAAATTTATATCAATTACATTCATTTGACAATTGTTGCTTTGTTCTATAGTTTACAAGTATGTGTGTATTATTATAATTTAAAATAGTTTAAATGTTAATTCAGTTTAAATAAAAATGTTGAAATGCGAAATTTCTATGCGATCGAATAACGTGAGTAAACAATAATAGAATTCGCTGCACCGTAACAGTTGACGCTCATCCCCATCATTCTTTCTTTCGGTGCCTATTCGCAGAATACACTCCTTTCAAGCGTTCGCTTCCGGTCCCGGCGCGGTGGACGCTTCAGCGGGCACTGCCGTACTTCGTCGACGCGTCTTTCGATTCGCGCTTTCGTTCACGGATTTTCTCTCGCCTTTGCAGATACGCGTGCGGAAAGTGGCCAGACGAACATCCTATACCAGATAAGAGTCTAACGAACTCGTGGTTCGACGAGCGCAGAGAAAGAATGTACAGGAAAATAAGAGAGCTGTTGCGGGGCAACGCGACGAGAAGCGACGAACCATGGGCCGTGTCGCAGGCAAAAATATTGTACAACAGCTGCATGGACGTGCGTACGTTGTCACTTGCTTCGTTAATTCGCCATTTCAGGTCTTATATTTCCAAATAACTAAAATAAATTCACCCCTCGGTTGAACTCGATTCAGACGCGATAAACGAGCTGGGTCTCGAACCACTGTTCGACCTGTTGGAGCAACTCAATTTGCCTCGGGTTCCCGCCGCGCTCACCAAAAAGACCAACGGTTACATCGAACAAATAGCCAAGGTGAAGAAGCTTCTGGGAAGAGACGTGTTCTTCGGTTTCGACATTGTTCCTGATCCTCGGAACACCAGTAACAACGTCATGTTGTTCGACACACCGATCATGAGCAACCCCTTACCCAAGTATGTATTACGTTTTTCATTGCTTTTCTCCCATCGTTCATTCATTCATTCATTCATTCATTCATTCATACGCGAATTTTGCGAATACGCAATTTTGTCGCTCGAACGACAAATTTTTCTCGCCAACAGCGACAAGGAGCTCGAGAAACGACTGCACGCGATCAGGTCACGTTTCCGTAAACTGGAGAATCAAGAAGAAGATGAAGAGGAGAAAGAGGAGGAGGAGGAGGAGGAGGAGGAGGAAAGTACCGAGAACAAGCTGAAGTTAAAGGAAGCAGAAACGACCTACATAACCGACGTGATTAAGCAGATCGTGAATAATGGGACCCTCGATTCGTGCTCCTTGAACGATGAATCATCGTTTCCTGACGAGCAAGACCTGGACGAAATAATCGAGACGCTCTACGAATTGACCAGCACTTTTTACTACGTAATTACATTTATTGCCACACTATATTTATATTTATATTTATATTTATGAATCGATTGGTAATTATAAAAAGCACTACGTGGTTGCAGCTGTCTCGTCTGGAGAGCAACGAAAGCATCTGGGAGGACGATCCGACTGTTGACGATTACATGTTGGTGGACGATCTTCAAAAGTTGACCGACCTCTTTGTGACGAAAACCAATTCGACGCTCACGCCTAAACCACTGTGGCGACCGTTCATCGAGTTACTCTTCGAGGACATCGGCACTTTGGATCTAAACGAGAAGGACAAGATATTGGTGGCCGATCTAGAGTACTTGAAGGAGATTGCTCTGACGTTGGCTCTCGCCGAGGAAGAAGAATTGGGTAAATGTTTTCCCTAATTTGGGGATAAATCGACTGGCATTCGTCGACTTAGTTACTTTGCTATTACATTTCAGAGAGCTACATCTGGTGGGTGGTCGTGGACATAATTGTGCCTCACTCGTCCGACAATTTGAAGAAAATCTGGCTGGACTACACCAGAGAGGTGACCGACGTCGAGATCGGCGAATCGAGATCCCTCCTTTGCACGTCCGCGGTCAACGAATTGATGGGTCAGACTGATTAAAGTTTTACATTTTCTCGAGATTTTTCCGCGAACATTAAATGTTCGATATTCTTGCTTCTTTGAATCTTGGTTTGGTTAGCATTTGATATTCTGTTGAACGTTACGAACGAACGTTGAAAATCTTTTGAGTTTAGTGTTTATTAGATCAGAAGCATCGCGTAAGTCAAGACGATCCGCTGATCCGCGAGCCTGTTACGTTTGTTGTCGTCTGGAAACGGTTGCCATCGATCGTTTGTCGATGCTTTAATTTTTACCGTTTTTGGATGACCTAAGTCTGGTCTAGAGCAGAGCAGTTAAACGGCTCGTCCGTGATTTGTCGAAAAGTAGAGAGCCGAAGGGTGCGCTAACGTTGGAAATCCCTGCGAGATCCGACGCATATTTCAAAAAAGCTATAGCATATTTTATTGATACAGGAATGGCGGTCTCTTGGTTGTTCGTCGACCCGTCGTTTCACGAAAACAAAGGCAAAAGGGTGCTGGAGATGCTGGACGACATAAAGCAAGCCTTCGCCTCGATGGTTTCGCGCACCGATTGGATGGATCAACGGACGAAAATGGCCACGCTGGAGAAAAACGAGAACATGATTTCTCAAATTGGCTTTCCGGATTGGTTGTTCGACGAGACGGTACTCAACGAGTACTACGAAGGCGTAAGAGATTCGAGAGATTCGCAAGTCTCCACCTCCTCGCGATTTTGCTCCAAGAAATGAAATTAACTTGTACGTTTTTCAGATAGATCTGTCGGAGACGAGATACCTGAACAACATGATTCAAATCGTTCGACTCATGTCCCTGTCCGAATTGGAATGCATCCACGAAACTAACTATAACAACCTGTCGTAGTAAGAGTGTGAAAATTTTACATCGAGCAAACTCGCTCGAGACGAGCCAGATGAAAACGGACATTGAACGTTCCCTTTTCTTTTGTTGCTTAGCTGGGCCACCGATCCAACGGATGTAAATGCATTTCACACCTATCAATTCAATCACATAAGTACGTAACATTTAATCGATCGATCGAAACTTGCTTCGATTTTACTTACAATATAAATACCTTTTTCTTTTGCTCTTTCTAACACGCACGCAGCAATACCAGCGGGAATCCTTCAATTCCCATTTTACGAATTGGGCCTCGAGTAAGATCGATCGCCATCCTTCCGCAGCTATTCCAGACGTAGCTGCGAATAGCTGGTTTCTTTGAGATCGACGTTCTAATTTTTTCAGATCTCTGAATTACGGCGCCATCGGGACGGTGCTTGGCCACGAATTAACTCACGGATTCGACAACGTCGGAAGATACTTCGACAGCAACGGGAACGTGAGGCAATGGTGGACCAACGAGACCGCCACGAGATACACTGAGAAAACTGACTGCTTTATACGTCATTACAACACCTACTACGAAGCTGACGTAAGTTGTTACTCTCTCTCTCTCTCTCTCTCTCTCTCTCTCTCTCTCTCTCTC